TTGCAGGCTGGGGTGGAGGCTGACCTGGGGAGACTGTCCTTTGCTGGGCTTGAAGATAAGGCAACGTCGGCAGTGATGGATGCTTGCCCGGGTCTCTGGTTAATGCAGGTGGGCGTCTGAGTCAGGTATTGACAGAGAGGGAGTTGCAACATGCCTGCCTGGCTACTTAAGGCAGATTCTTTTCCAAGCAAAAATCTTGGCACATGTCATACATGCACTTGTTAGGTTTCTCTCAACCCGGCGTCACGTGCTTTATATGTGTTGTCAGTCCCTAGCACATCCTGGCAATTAGGCTGTCAGTGTTCGCTCATCTTGTTATGCAACTCTTCATGTTCATCTGTATTTGCCAGTGTATTTTCCTGAGAAACAAAGAGAGGTTGGATGGAAACCACTGGCCAGAGGCCATTTTGGATGGAGAGTCCCAAAATGCATATTTTTTCATTTTTTCATTTGAGAACTAACTCCTATCCAGTGGTTCAGTCCCCAGATGCCTGCATTGGCTGGGGATAAAGCTGGGAATTGGAACGTAATCCAGGTCTCCCAAGTGTGTGATAAGAAACCAAGCACTTGAGCCATCACCACTGCCTCCCAGGGTCTGCATTAGCCGGAAGCTGGAGTTAGCAGCTGGGCTCTGATATGAGATGCAGGTGTCTTAATTGCTAGACCCAATGCTGTTCCCCTACAATGCATTTCAATTCTTTGCTTGACTCCCTGGGCAGACTAAGATATCCTTAAAGGGAGGGGCTGGGTGACAGGTATCCCTTGGTCCCCAGTAATTTGCATGCAACTAGCACAGAACTGTTGCTGAATAAATGTTGGGGAAAAGAGAGAATGAAAGAGGGCGAGGAACATTTTTGTTATTTGTCAATTCCATGTTAAAGTGCTTTAACTGAACCTCAAAGGGTCCTCCTGCCTCTCAAGAAAGAATTGATGAAAATGTGTCTTGCAGCTTAAGAATCTAATTAAAGCTAGCCGGGGTCATGGACTGTGTAACTAAACCTTTCATTTATGCAGTAAAGAGCATTTAAAAAGGAAAAGGATGGGACACGGGGCAGTAATATCTCCTGTTGAATAAGGCATGTGTCTGATCAGCCTCAGCAAGGTATTCTTTGTGCACTCGCTCCCCTGATAAGAAGAAGGGAGAAGACAAGTTGAAATCATAGTGAGCGGGATGTGGGTGGGAGGTGAGCAGGACATTTCTAACAGCGCAGCTCCGCAATGGGTAGAACTCTCATGGGAAGTCGTACAGCTGCTTTCACTGGAGAGACTTTCCTGGGCTTAGATACAGAAGCATTCAGAGCCAGCACCGTCTAAGCTGGTTGAGGGCCCCCAAACCCTCTGGGCAGAGGGAGCTCTGAGTCTTCAGCCCAGGAGCCTGCAGCGTCATTTTGAAGGAGTGATTTAGTGATATCAAATAGCCCAGTGATTAATCAAGAAAACAAGTGAGCATTTGACACCAGAGAGGAAAAAAAAAAGAGCCAAGGAGATGCTGGGGGGAAAAGGCACCCAGGCTTGGCGTCCCAAGCCAATGGTACTTTCAGGGATATTTACAAACCATAACCCATTGCGAGAGAAAGATCAATCTGCTGCACAGCTAAATTAATATTTAACTTGCTTGAGAAAAGTCAATCTTTGAGTTATTAGGGAAATTAACCAGCAGGTTTACCTGAGCCTTCAGTGTGTTCTAAAAGTCATCAATGCTGTTTTCCTTCCAACTTCATGTTCCTTCCTCCCCATCCCAATCCATCCCACGCCTCTCGTTCCTCTTCCTCCCCTCGCTTCTGCTCCTCCTGCTTCAGGGGAAGCCTCGGGAGGTGCCCAGTTTCCAACAAACGCTGCTGGAACAGAGCAGAGGTCTGAGACCCATCTCAGCCACGCTCGTGCTTCTCCACCTGGGTGTCTTTGGGGAAAGCCGCAAGCTTCCAAGCCTCATGCGCAGCAAAATCCACTGGGGAGAAGGGGCTGTGCAATCACTTTGAGAGTTGACATGTTCTTGGGGGAGGCCTTGCAATCAGGCGTTTGAGAGAGCCCACACGGTGAGTTTTCTGTAAGGTTGAAAGGCCCTGGCAAGGATGCTCGGTGGGCTCCAAGGTGCACCTGCCTCCAGGAGTGACGTTTAACAGCTGGATCATGGCCAGTTCTACCTTCAGTCAGGTCTGGAAGGGTACTGGGTTCCACCCCAGAGGGTGGAATGAGAGGACTGGGTGAAGACCAGAAGAGCAACCACAGAGAAGGCTTCCCGACAGAGGTGGGTCTGGGCAGAAACAGAAGGAGGGAAATGCGGGTCCTAAATTTTGCCATGCACTGCTTGTCTACAGAAGGCGCTCAACAAGCAGAAGCCATCCCCTCATGTCCAACTGCTGGCCACCACCCCCAAGCTCTCCCCTGCTTCATTATTCTCCAGAGTCCTTCTCACCACGGATGCACCACTGCCTGTTTGCTTATTATCGCCTGCCACGTGTAAGCTTCCCACACAGCAGGGTTTGTCCACCACACCCCCACAGCTGAGGCCAGAGCCTGCCACATGCCCAGTAGGCACAAAGCAACATTTGCTGAGCAAGTAGGGGATGTGTGGCTAGCCTGGGTATGAGTGTGGTGCAGGCAAGGGGGTCAAGTTAGCTAAGCAGCCCATGTCCAGGCTGAGCAGGGAGGTTGCAGGGAGCTCACAGAGAAATGAGAGTGCCAAGCCAAAGTGGCCAGTCTGTCTTCAGCAGACAGGGAGGAGCCACTAGGTTTCTGTGCTGGGAAGAGGTAGGATGAAGCGTGGCTTGAGGAAGATTAGCATGGCAGCAGGATCCAGAGGGACTAGACAGGAAAGGGATGGAAGATGGGCAGTCATTCAGTTTCCAGCGATCCGGGGGAAGGCAGTGTAGGCTGGGACAGGCTCATGGACTTGGGACAAAGGAATCAGGAGGGGGATGTGGCAGGAGGGCTCTGCCAGGCGTGCCTCCCAAGAGGCTGTGATGTAGTGAAGGGGAGGGAACAGTCTGAAAGCCATCCATCCATCCATTCATACACCCATCCATCCACCCACCCATCCATCCATCCACTCATCCACCCAACCATTAACTCATCCACCCACACACTCATCAATCTACCCATCTATCCATCCATCCACCCATGCATCCATGCATTCATTCAGTAATCCATCCAGTCATCTGTTCACCCATCCATCAATCTATACATCTATCCATCCACCCACCCACCCATCAATCTATACATCTATCCATCTACCCATCCACTCACCCATCCATCTATTCACCCATCCACTCATCCATCTATCCATTTATCCATCCATCCATCCATCCATCTATCCACCCACCCACCCATCAAGGCATGGCTGGAGGTCAAAGAGTAGGTGAAGCTGCCAGGGAGTTTTCCATGAACCCTGGGAGAAGGACTCTAGGGATAGAGCTTGGGGGGCATCTCCATTGAAAGGTAAAGAGGGAGTAGAGGAAATAGAAGGAGTTGGTAGAAGATGGGGAGGGGGAGCAGGACCATGGAAACTGGGGCCAGAGCCTCCAAAGAAGTACAGGGCACCCATGTCTGACGATGCCTTGGTCCCTGGAAGATGATGGATAACTCGGAGCAGGCTATCGCCAGGGCAGCCTCAGCTTGCTCCAGAGACCCTGTGGCAGGTTGGTATCATGGTGGGATGGAGTGCAGCTGGCACAGCATTAAGTAGGTGGAAGTGGTATGGTCCCTGAAGGTGCTGAGGCAGGGTGACAAGGAGGGTAGGAGATGAGGGAGGTAACTGGAGTCAGAGCTGGAGTACCAAAGAATTATCTGGGTGGGGGGACCCTAGTCTGACTGGCAGAGGGGAAGCAGTCTTGGGAAAGGAGAGACCAGACAGACGTGCAGTGGTGGGGACTGACACAGCAGAGCCCCCAAAGGCGAGTAATTAAAAAAAAAAAACCCGCCGCATCTGCTCACTGTGAGCTCATTATCAACTCTGGGGAAAGGCCAGCCGTCCCTGAGGGACCCTGCAGGACCAGACTGTCATGGGGTCGGGAGTCGGGGGCGGGTGATGAGGACACTCCCCCACACATTGTGCAGCTAGGCAGCCTTCAGATCCACACCACGCTGGCCATCTCCAGGGGCAGGGCAAGAAAGCAGAGCTGCTGGAGCTGAGCCTGGCAGAATCCCACCTGCCGCTGTCCTGCTCCTGCTGAAGGCCTAGCCCATGGTGAGGTGCCTTCCACTGTGCACCTTACCTTGATCCTGGGCTGCCCTACTCCCTTCCCCGACTGATGTTACAGCTGGCTGCGTGGCTCTGGTCTCTTCCAGAGCATGTCCTCCGGGTCGGGCTCCCAGGGACACTCCTGGCACGCACAGCAGCAGCAGGAACTCCTGGAGGAAGGCATCAGCCAAGAGCTGTGAGGACTCACCCAAGCCCTCCGCGCTTGCTGCATCCGTTCGTTCAACACGCAGCTGCCATCATCTTCCAGGGTCAGGCGCTGTTCTCAGCGCTCAGGATTCAGAAGGAAACAGACCAGAGTCTCCAAAATGATGAGCCCATTTACGTCAGGGGAAACCAGTAACAGAGAACACGCCGTCCTCAGAGGAGACGTGGTATGCAGAAGAGGCGCAGGGGTGTCACGGGAGCTGCCCTGGATCGGGTGGAGAGATACGCACTGAACGATTTGAAGCTCAACGGGGGTCCTGCGGGCGCTGGACAGCCGAGGGGTCTCCACCTAGACCTCGGCAGCCCGCTAAGTCCGGGGCGTGGACCCAGGAGCTGGCGCGGGCCGGTGCGGTTCTGCCGGCGCACCACGAGGGGGAGCCCCGACCCCTCCTAGCGCCTTCGCGGCCCTCCCGCACAGCCTAGCAAGCAAAAGTTTTTCTTAAACTAACAATGCCAGCGTGAGGAGGTGCTCGCGCCTGATTGGACGGGGGAATTTTGCAGGTTTGATTCCTTGATTGGACAGGAGGTGCTAGGGGTGGGGAGAGAGCTGTTGGTGGGGGATCCCGCTCCCTCCCCCGCCAGTCTGGCCGGCCCCGTCCTCCTGTCGGCTCCGCCGTAGCTCGCAATGTGACACCGGGACGCACACGCTCGCGCGCGCTCTCTCAGGCTCGCTCGCCCTCGCCCTCTCTCCCACACGCACGCACACACCCACCTCTCCCATAAACACACACACACACATGCACACCCACACCCACGCGCGCCCGCACCGCCCCACGCGCGCACACTCCCGCCCACGCCCACGCCGCGCTCCAGGGAGTCCGGTCCCGGCGAGAGCGCGAAAGGATACGGAGAAGCCACCCGCGGGGAGCGCAGCGGCGCCCCGGGACGCGGCGCCCTCCCCGCGCGGCCGCCTCGGCTCGCGCTCGGCCTGGGGGCCTCCGGCCGGCCATGGCCTTGGATTGCCTGCTGCTGTTCCTCCTGGCATCCGCAGTGGCCGCGATGGAAGGTAACGTAACCTCGGCGGCGCTTCAAGTTGGGGGCTGCCGGCCGCCGCCTCGGGGCCGGGGCGCCGCGCGGCTCGTGGGGGCTGCTTCGGCCGCTTTGCGTCTTCTGCATCCCGGGACCCGAGGACAAGGTTCGGCCGCGGCCGGGCGCGGGGCCGGGGCGGCACCCGCCGGCGCGCCGCCGGCTGGCTCTGGGCGCCCGCAGCAGCTCCCGCGCCCCGGCGCTCTCTGACAGCTCCGGCTCGGCGAGCGCGGAGCCCGCTGCATTGCAGTGCAGGCTCCTCGGCTCCGGGCAGAGCTGGGCGTTAGGGGACGGAGAAGCACCGCGGACCGTCAAGCTCCGGGCTTCCGGGCGCCTGTCCGCTCCCTTCCTATCCCGAGCCCCGATGCGCTCCCTAGCTGCCGCGCGCCACCTCCGCGTCCCCAGCTCGCAGTCCGCCCGCTTCTGGATCTGGGGCTGGCTGGCAAGCGCCGCGCGCCGGAGCCGGAGCCGGAGCCGGAGCCGGAGCCGCTCTGCCGGGGCTCCCCGCAAGTGGCTGCGGAAGGAGGGGGTCGAGTTCTTCGGCTGGACCCTCGGGGAACCGTGTGGCTGTGCCGGGGTCTGCGGGGCCAGGAGGAGTCTCGGAGCAGCCGTGGACTAGGGTGGGCGTCGGTCCTGCCTAAACTCACCGGATCCCCACCCACCCCCAGGGTCCGGGAACGGAGACTTGGCGACCCGGAGCCGGCGGGCAGCGACACCGCCCCTACCAGACCAGCCTGGCCCGTGCCTCCGGCCGGTGGCCAACAACACACGCTCGCTTCGGTGACCCCGCGCCTGGTGCAGCGGGGAGCCCGGGCGCTCCGCCGCGGCGCCCGCGAATCCCGGTGGGAAATCCCTGTCCCGCTCCCCGCCTCCCGCCCCTTCCCCGCCCCCGCTTTTGGCGGCGGAGCGGGGCGGCAGCCGCCTCCCGGGACAGCGGCTGAGCGAGGGGAGCGGACTTGGAGTTGCCGCTACGAAGGAAGCGACTCTGGGGGTGACGCTCCCGCACCCCCTTCCCGGGGTCCGACGCGGGCCGAGTCTCCGCGGGGAACTCCAGACCCGCAGCTCCGAGAGCCGGCGCCGCTGTCCCGTCTGGGCTCTCGCTCCGCTGGGGTGCGGGTTCGCCCAATGGAAACTCCCAGGAACACCAGGGCTTGGCCACCCCCAGTCCCTTCGGAAGGCACTGCCCTTCTGGAACCGAAGCTGGGGGGTCTCGGGACCCTGAGGCGGGGCTCTACTGTCCTCGCCTTTGGGCAAAGATCGCTGCCTCCCGCGTCGGTTCTGTGGCGGCGCTGGGGGTGCGGCGGGCCCTTCGTGTCTACACAGCTCCCGCTCGCTTTTCCAAAGGCGGCTTTCTGTCCGCTCTCGGCCTCCCACTGCACCTTTGGCCTGCCGCTCTTTGTGGGCTGCGGGCTGAGCTTTGAAATGTGTAGCCTAAGAGAGAGAGAGAGAGAGAGAGAGAGAGAGAGAGAGAGACATGGTGCGCATCCCAGCGCCTGAGGCTTGGGTTACGCTTACGGAGAGACACGTGCGCAAGCCATTGAAACAGAAAGGAAATTCGAGAGAGAGGATAGGATGGTTTCCCGTGGCCATGCAGGGCGGGACTCGGTAGCCTTGGGGCGCGGCGTCATGCCGGCCCCAGCCTGGGTAGGGCCGAGGCAGTTGGCACCCAGAGAGGGTCAGGGGCTGGCACTCCGAGAGCAGCTGGGTGCTTCCTTCAGAAAGCCTGGTCTTGGCATCCGTTCCATCCGTGGAGGAGCCAGCGTGCATGCAAGCAAACGGAGAGCAAATGCGTGAAACACACCCGCCGAGGGGCCAGGGTGCGTGCGTGGGTCTCCCTGGACAGTTGCAGCTCCCTGCCTACTAATCTGGAGCAGTCGCACGGGCGCCCTGTGCCAGCACCCGGCCTCATACACGGAGCCTGTCACCCAGGCCTCCCTGGTGCCGCTCACCTCAGCGCTGGGACGGTTCTCTTGGTGCAGCCAGGGAAACTTTGCCTTGGCCTGACAGGCTGGCTGTCGGCTGTGAATCTCCCCAGCAAGGGTTAAAAGAAAGGCCACGTTCAGCAGAATATTTCAGCAGCCCCCCGCCCCTGCTCAGTGTGCACGCCATTCACTGCTTCCCTTCCTCGAGTGGACGCAGGCAGGCTCATTTCTACTCTCCACACACACACGGCTGCCTGCCCGCTCGCCCGGCTGGGCTGGAGCCAGCATCATTTGGTTTGTGATGAGTGAGGAATAATTATCAGAAAAGTGGATCAATGAGCTGCCTACACAGACAGCGGGTCCTTCCCAAGCTCTGCTGTGGCCAGGGGGCGCTTCTGCCTGTTGGTTTCAGCCACTTCTGTGACTGCTTTCTCTGCACTCCAGTGCACTGGAATTCCAGTGGGGCTTCGCCACCCAGGGCAAGCAGCTCCCAGACCGGGCAGGGGCTCAGATCAGGGACAATGGGACAGTGGCAGTCATGGGCCAGGTAGGGTTATGTGGCTAGAGGAAGACAGGGTCCTTTGAAATCTGTGCCTGGGTGGAAGGAATGGAGGGAGGAAGAGGAGGGAGGGAGAGGGTGGGGACCCAAGGGTGGACGAGGGCCTCCTGCCACCCTATGCCTGGTGGAAGGGAGGAGGGCACAGGCTGCTTCTTGGCCACAGGGGTGTTGGGGATGCTATAATTCACCTGTCATCCGGCAGGAAGCTGGTTGGCTTGGGGAGTGGGAAAGCCAGACTGAAAGGAGCTCCCTCTCCCCCACCCCTCCCTGATTTCCAGCCAGTTCTGCTGTGGGAGAGATATGGCACTGCAGGGAAAAGGCTATCTGAGGCTTTTGTGTCTATTTTCAGAGGGGCAAGGCAGGCTGTGGACACAGGGATGCTGATAGCCCTCGCCCAGGCCGCTCCCTGCAGCCTCGTGCAGACAGCGGCCTCTTGCAGCTCACTCTGCTTTCATGCCGGCCCTGAGGGCTTCTTGACCAGGGGCTGTGGGTGTGTGCAGAGCGAAGGCAGCCACTTGCTTCCTTTGAGCTGCGCTCTTGCCGTTTGGCCTCTGGGACGGGCTCTGGAGAGCTGGGCTTCTCAAAAGCTGCTTCACGGAGGCAGCAGGTGCATGTTGGGTTTGCAGCACCCGCCCACCCGCAGAGGAAGCACGAGGGCCCCTGCTGAGAGGCAGCAACCTGGAATCCCTCACACTGCTCGTGCCCTCCTCCCAGCCCTGCCCTGTGTCCATGGAAATGACCATGCACCTGCAGGTGGCTGCAGTATGTGGGACACTGGCTGACCGGAACCCACCCAGGAGGCCTGCTCTTGGGGTGGCCTAGAGTGGAGTGCTGGGCTCGGCACTCCGTCATCCACATGTGTTTAGGTGGCTTCTCAGTAGGAATTGCGCTGTGTGAGTAGGTGAGTGACTGAGTTACTGGTGAGCCCCACCTTGCAAGACCAGGGCACTGAATTCCACTGTGCACACTTTGGAGATTAGATCCCCATCGCAGGCTCGTGGTGGAGCCTAAGCCCAGAAGTCTCCCTAGGCTGAGATTGGTGGTTCCTGCATTGTTTGCTCATTTTGTTTGCTGTGTGTGCATCTGTTTTGGGTGTCCATGAGCATGTATGAACCTACAAGCAGTAGCGGGCACCACTGATTTTAAAAAGCGACTGGAAAATAAGAGTAAACTTGGCAGATTTTGTGATTAGCTGATTCTGTTGTCTGTGCATTGTAGACAGATCATTAGTACTCAGTGTTTTGGGGGGTGGCACCCCCTGAAGCCACATGTGGAATGCAGAGGGCAGGGCCTAGCTCCAGCTGAAGCCTTCTGGGTCTGTGGAGCAGAGCTGCCTGTAGCTGGCTTGGGAAGGGGCTGTCCAGCCATAGAAGACCCTGCCCCAGCCCCTTCTGTAGACCCAGGATCAGATCTGAGGCCCTGCCCTGGCCCCTCCAAAAGGCCAGATCATGAACTTGGGGCAGTGGGAAGCGTTACTGGGTCAGGAATGGGCTCTGGCCACAGGGAGGGGTCTGGAATAAATATGGGATGGAGACAGATGTCAGGATCGTGAAGCCAGCGTCTCCTTTTTATCAGCTTTCCATCTCTGAACTCTGCTGCATGAGCAGGACACCCAGTGCCATGACAGCAGTGTCTTGCTCTGTCCAGCAGGTCACGGCCCAGCCTATTCCAGCCTTTGGAGCTGGGACAAGTCATGTTTGTTACGAAGACATACTCTGTCCTAGATTGAAAAGATAAAGCATGCTGCTAAAGTCAAAGATATGGTTGTGTTCTTAAATTAAAAATCATTGATAGCTCATCCTAAGAGATCTCAACTCGGATTCAGGGGCCTGGTGCTGTTCCAGCACTGGCCAAAGATAGAGGTGATTTGGAAAGCCAGAAGAGGGGCAGTGGTTCTCGGGTTCTTCAGGAAGCCCTGTGTCCCTGGGGGGTTGGCTGCAGGCTCCTGGGTCCTAGCGCCAACAGCTCAGCAGGTCTGGGCGGCCTCTGAGAATGCACTTGTGAATGGGCCCCTCCGGCAGAGGGCTCTAATGCAGGTGCTTTCTGATCTTACCGCACTCTGCACTTTCAGAGGAAGAATGGCCTGGGCACCTGCATTTTAACCGGGAGGGGCTGGGGCACACTCAGCCACTGGGGTGTTTCATAGACGGTAGGGCCTCCAGGGAGAAAGGATGAACAAGAAGTCTCAACATTTGGGGTTGAGCACAGCGTCCATGTAGCTCCCTGCCTGCCCCTTTCTCCCGTCTTCCACCCACATCTGCACCCTACACAAACAGACCCAGGGCTGGAGCCCTACCTGGCTGCACGGCTCCTCACAAGGAATCCGGGAGAAGGACGCGGGGCCCATCGCTCTACTCTTGCTCTATCCAGCTCTCTCAAAGAAGAAATGATTAGCAGAGTGTCCCCAAAGGAGATGGACCTGGGTGCCTTGTGCATTCTGGGGACCCTGCCCCTGCCTGCCCACCCATCCCATCCCCCCCCCCCCCGCCCCGAGCACAG